ATTTTCTGCACGCGCTGCCGCTGAAATTGTTGTTCGGATTTCAGCTGCTGTTCTTATCGGTGGCGAGCACGATGATGGCGTTCGCGCTGACGATCGTGCTGACGATGAAATCGGCGGAGATAAAATGGACGATGAGTTTACTGTATATGGCGTCATTTTTTCCGGTGACGATGTTCATAATCATGCAGCTGCCGTTGTATGTGAAACTGGTGAAGAGTATTTGGAGCTTTCGCCACAATCTTTTCCAGTTCCTTCCCATTGGTTTCGTCACCCCATTTTGGATGCTTCCTTCCAAAATTGTTACCAGGAAATTTGCTTGATTTTTCATGGCTGAATCGGTGATAAGGATAAAGTTAAGAGTCAATATTATCTTGTGTTTCGTGTGCTTATATTTATTTATTGTTTTTTATTTTACAAATGGTTTCTACGTAATATATTTCTTTATTATTTTTTGAAACATTTATAGATTTAGATCTTCATAATTTAAATAAAGTTTTTTTTAATTGTCCTCAATAAATGTTATTTTATTACAATTAAATCTCGTTTACTTGTAATGGAAATGAAAATCAAATAAATACATTATTCTGGATGGTAAATATTTGTTATTATATCAATTTATTTAATATTAATAAATAATTAATCATTAAAAAGAATTACATCAACTAGAACACTTTTTATCAGAACAATCCTTCTTATGAAATATTATTAAATTTTACTATTATAATATTTAAATATAAAATCAAATCCCGTTGTAATGAGGAACACAAATCCCAAAATTCTAAACTTCAATTTCTTAATCCCACCGCACCGCAGCTCGCAAACCTAGAACCCATTTTAAATCTCATATGGACTCCAAAATTTGAATCCCACCGCTTCAATTTTTTTTTCCTTTTTTGTTATTAAAGTCTAATTTCAACGAAAATTGGACAAAACACAGAAAAAATTGCTTATTCCATTTAAATCTCTGGTCTGCGTCGTCATTACTTGAAAGGGTGGGGAAGATATTTGGTTTCTGGTTTTCTTTCTTTTCTAAAGCCCTAAACCGACCCTTGAACCAATTTGATCTTGAACCAACCCATAATTGGTAGCCACATCATAAAATTCTCTTCAGTTTAATCTAATATTTAATGACAAGGATTAAATTGTATCCAATTTTAGAATACAATGACTAAATTGTGTTACTTTTAAAAGTTTGGGGACTAAATTGTTACTTTAATGAAAGTACGGAGCAAATGTGTTTTTTAACCTATCATAAATTAATTTATTTTTATCACAAACGAATAAATTCTTATAATGATTTATTTCATTTTTCTATGATAAAAAAATGATATATGCATATAAGAAAGTAAAAAGTTATTGGTGGACAATAGACTTTAAGATATTGATAAAAAAATTGTTCAATTAGATATGTTGATGCAATAGAGATTCTTTGTGTGGGATTTGTGGAGATGAGTTCCTTCCTATTCTTTTTTTTTCAATAAATATTTTTTTCTTAAAGAAATTTTCATTTAAATATTTAATTTCTAAGATCTAATTCTTTCAAATATATATTATAGACAAGGTAGAGAATAATACATTATTTTTCTTAGTACACAGGGGATAACATATTAAAAAAATGATGCAGGGCGGGAACATGAGAGGGGAACCTATTCGGTGTCCTCGTCCTCATTCTCATTCAGGTGGTGGGAAAAAATTTTCCCCCATCCCCATCTCTTGCAGGGAATTTAAACATAAATTTTCCATCCATTTAAGCAGGTCCTAAATTGGATGGGCCAATGGAAAAAAATAACATCCTCATCCCGTACTCCTACATATTGGACTTAAAACTTAAAAGGAAGAATAATTAAATTTTATTTGACACAAAATTAAAAATTAATCCACAAGTAAATTTATTTGTAACTCAATCCAAAAAAGCGAGCACAGCCCAGCAGTAATTGACATATACTTCCAACCAAGAGTTTGTGAATTCGAATCCCCCAACCAACTCAGACCGACCAGTCCAGGTTGTCCAAGTTAGACTAACCCATGTTGACCAACACGAGCCAAACAACTAGGGCAGATCAATCCAAACCCATTCAGGCCAACCACGTGCACCCAATTGGACCCCAGCTTGACCACATCGGGCCAATCGTCTCAAACCTGACCATTCTAGGACGACTATCTTGAGCTCAACCACCTTGGGATGACTATCCTAAATCAGACCACCCCGAACGGCCATCAAAAGCTCGACCACTTTAGGTGGACCACCCTGGGCCCGACCACATGTTGTCAACCACGTCGAACCCAACCATTTCAAGCCAATAGAATCAGGCTCAACCTTCAGTCTTACAAAAGTTTTACAGGGGGGAATGAGGAATGATGGTGGACATTTGAGGGGAAAAAATAGATATTTATGAACTAAGAAATTAACTGTTATGGTATTCTATCGATTATAAAAATAATTTATTATTTCAATTTATTATTATTTTGAATAATGTGGTAGTTTTAAAATACTTTAAACCAAACATCAATACTTTAAAATCATTTTTAATTATAGGAAATAAATTTTAAAAAGTGAAACCAAATATCAAGAGTAATTTTATAAAATCCAAATTTTAATTAAATATTTTTCTAAAATCATTCAATTTTATCATTGCATACTACCGTCTGTGGTTCCCTCAGTTTTACCTGAAATATATATATATTTCAAAAAGTTTGCTAGAGTCAGATTTGGAAGGAAGCCGATTTAAAAACTTGTTATATTAATATTAAATATTATTGACACCTAAAGTTGGWAGATACAAGTAACTTTTAAAAAAAATTAAGAACAAAACAAACACAATGTTGCTAATCGTAACATATTACTCGTCAATAAAAATCATCGTGAAATTGATGGGTCTAAAAGGAGTAGGGACATACAAATTTATGGCTATAAATTAAAAAAAAAAACTAAATATACAAAATGTCAGGTTACGTGTTAAAATTATGATCAAAATAAAAATGAATGGATCAAAATGGTTGCTTCTTAAAAATACATGACCAAAATAGACGTTTTAGAATACATAGAAACAAATACACATCGAAACAAATATTTTGAAAGTAGATCAAAATAAACAAAAATGGAGACTACGATAATTCCAATCTATGAAATAATTTAAGAGGATATAAAGAATAAAAAAAGAATAAATCTAAAACAAATTTAAAGTAAAATAAAATAAAATCACAAAAACCAAGGAGCAGAAGTGGAACTACCCTAACGACCAGCGTTAGGAGACGACGCTTACCCCTTAACGAACCAAACCAACCAACCAACCTTCCGCATGGCGGAGAGTCCAAACTCCGAAAGATCTTCTTGACCCGTTCCCTTCATTTTCTCTCTCGCCTTCTTCTCCCAATTCTCTCATCTTCCAATATCTTCAAAATCATTTCTCCATGTCTCCGCCGTTCATCGTCGATGGCGATGTTTCCGCCGCCAACTCACCCTCTCCGCCGCTCATCGGCCGGCTTGCTTCTGTGTACAGCGAGGTCCAGGCCAATCGAATCGATCAACCTCTCCCTTTCCCCTCTGTTCTCGGAAAACTGTTCGACATTGTCGATGGCCCTCCCAGCTCCGCCGCCGGCAACCCGGGTACTTATTAATTCGACCTTGTGGAGTAATTTTTTTAGTCTTGTGCTACTGTTTCATAACTGGCGACAGTGTATTATTGTGTTTTCCTGTTGCTTTTGGGATCGTGTTGAGGTCAATCGCCAGTTATTAAGGTTTTAGAGTGCTTGAGTTGTGGTTTCGTGAATGCAGCCGAGATCGCGAAGCTGTTTCCTAATCTGTTTGGCCAACCGTCGGCGATGTTGGTGCCGAGCGATTCCGGTGCGGTCAAGGTGGATAAGAAATTGAAGATCGGAGTTGTCTTGTCTGGAGGCCAAGCACCTGGAGGGCATAATGTGATTTCTGGACTATTTGGTAAGATTTTACTTCATCCACATTTATAATTAAGGAATACATTTTTATTTTTTCTGCACAAGCTGTTCTTAATTGGCATCTACGATGTGGTGAAGATTACCTACAGGATCATGCAAAAGGAAGCACGTTGTATGGTTTCAAGGGTGGTCCTGCAGGGATCATGAAATGCAAATATGTAGAACTGACCGCACAATTTATCTATCCATATCGAAATCAGGTTAGAGTTCTACTGGGATTTCTAGTTTTATATCTTTAGAAATTGTTACTGTGAATGCAATTGTTGATCTAAATGCATTGTTTATATCAGGGTGGTTTTGATATGATTTGTAGTGGGAGGGACAAAATTGAAACTCCAGAACAGGTGAAACTCTTTTTCTTTCCAGAATTTGCCTTCTGAGACGCTTTATTTGTAGTCAAGGTAGAGATTGACAGTTGGTTCAATTTTCAGTTTAAGCAAGCTGAAGAAACAGCTCAGAAGCTTGATCTGGATGGACTTGTTGTAATTGGTGGAGATGACTCCAATACAAATGCCTGCCTCCTCGCTGAAAACTTTAGGTACTTTTGAGAAATTATGAGAGTGGAACCAACGTACCATGAAACTTGTAGATAAGGAAGAGTCTTATTACCCTAACTCTTTGCAATGGTTCTGTTATTGACTTTTTCATTCTATTTTATTGTTTTCAAATTAGGAGTAAAAATTTGAAAACCAGAGTGATCGGTTGCCCAAAGACTATTGATGGTGATCTCAAGTGCAAAGAGGTCCCCACAAGTTTTGGATTTGATACTGCTTGCAAGGTATTAATTTCTTTACGGAACTGCTTAAGAACTCATATTTTCTTGTCGGCTCACCTTTGATCAATGTTGCAAAGTTGAAGTAGTTTCTTCAAAAATTCTAGTAAAAAAGGGAATGTTGCATGCTCGAGATGAGGTTCTTAATAGGCTCTGCTGACGTTTACGCAGATATATGCAGAAATGATTGGCAATGTGATGGTTGATGCTCGATCAACAGGAAAATATTATCACTGTACGTATTTTTGTTAATGCAATTGGCCTTTGATGTAAACAGAAATGAGATCTGATGTACTGTTTCTGAATAACTGAATTCTTGAGGACTTTAACAATAAAGTATTTTGGGTTCAGATTTGTTACTAATCCTCATCTCTATCCATCATCATTCTTGTTGACATCTTCTTCTATACTGCCACGCAGATCTTAAATTTCCTAAATTTCTATCTTGTTTCCCCTGCAGAATTCAGAGAACTTTCTTTGTTCTCTTATGTTCATATTCTCCACTATTTGATCTACCTAACGTGAAATTGTACTAATACATTGTGCTAATTTAGTTAATATCTCTTTGTATCTCACTCTCAAGTTTCAAGTATATTATCGTATGCCATTAACAGTGTGCATACATCTGCACTGCAGTTGTAAGGCTTATGGGTCGTGCTGCTTCTCACATTACGCTAGAGTGTGCTTTGCAAACTCATCCAAACATTACTATTATTGGAGAAGAGGTAACTACTTAAACTACTTAATATATAAGTCTTTATTCAGATGTAGATTGTTTAGTCAGGGAGGTGGAGCAGGTGTGGGTTTTACTTCTCTACCTTTCTTGCCCTATGTTAATTATCCCATGAATTTGCTGGCTAGTAAGTTACATGTTGATTGGCAGGGCAGAGCATTTACCACCATATGCTTCACCTTGTTTGTTCTCTCTCAGTACTGTATTTTGTGTGTCCATAGCAACAAGAATATCTGCAATAGATATCTTGTGTGTCAATTGATTTTATCTTACCAATTCATTGGCTTTGAATGTGATGCAGGTGAAAAAATTTCCATTTGGAAGTCTTGAATACTCTGTTTTTTTTTTCCCTTTTCAATGGAGTTTTAGGTTATGGAGTAGACCTAATTTAGAACTTGTTTTGAAGGTTGCAGCTAAGAAGCTTACCCTGAAAAACGTTACAGACTATATCGTGGATGTAGTAATTAAACGTTCCAAGCTTGGTTATAACTATGGTGTCATACTTATTCCCGAGGGTCTGATTGACTTCATTCCTGAGGTACTGCTTTTGTTATTAAAATTAATCATGTCTGTTTCTTTAGCTTTATACTCATAATGAAAGGTGCCACTAACCCAAGATACTGGATCTCAATACCATCATTCTTGAACTCATAAGCATTTATAACCTGCTTTTCTACAGGTTCAGCAACTTATTGCGGAACTCAATGAGATTCTTGCCCATGATATTATAGACGAAGATGGGATATGGAAAAGGAAACTTACAACTCAATCTCATCACCTTTTTGATTTTTTCCCACCAGCAATACAAGAACAATTGTTGCTTGAAAGAGATCCACATGGCAATGTCCAGGTAAGTGTTTTATTATTATTATTATTATTTCTTATAGTTGTCTTTCTGTAGATTTCGGTAGTTCGATTAACCATATTATATTTATCATGTCAGGTTGCCAAAATAGAAACTGAGAAAATGCTTATTCAAATGGTTGAAACTGAGTTGGAAAAGAGGAAGCAAGAAGGTGCATATAATGACGAATTCAAGGGGCAGTCACACTTCTTTGGGTACTCATTCTGTGGCCACTTGATTCAAGATGATGTGAAAAAATAACATTTGTTGGAGTATCTGATGCCTCGTGTGTAATATTTATCTGTTTAATTATTCTGTTGATTTGTAGGTATGAAGGGAGGTGTGGTTTACCCACAAACTTTGATTCAACATACTGCTATGCTTTGGGTTACACTGCTGGAGCTCTCCTCCAAAGTGGAAAAACTGGACTAATATCTTCGGTTCGTCTCTCCCACTTCTCGTAGCTTCTGTTATTTTCCTTTCATTATTTTATTGTTATCAGTTTCCTTCAGAGATTTCTCCCCCATTTCTACTGTTGCCATGGAGTTCACTTGGTATATATGTTAATTATATCCACCAGGTAGGAAATTTGGCTGCACCAGTCGAAGATTGGACGGCTGGTGGAACCGCATTGACTTCGTTAATGGATGTGGAGAGGAGGCACGGTAAGAATTCTTCTTGAAAACTTGAATCCCTTTCTCGTTCTTCTTCTTCTTTTCTTTTTTTTTCTTTTTTTTTTTTTTGGATAAAGAGACAATTCATAAAGGAAAGAAACACAAAAACAACCAAAGGGACAGGGGACGAGAAGACCCCCTCCAAAAAGGAACTAATGAATCAACGCTCTCCAATCTTGAAAGATCATGGAGAGGTTGTAGTTACAAAAGAATTTCGTATTCATATGGCACCACCAAGAGGCTGTAATATGTACACTATTACAAAAAGAATCAAAAGACTTGGACTTATCATCAAAAGAGCGAATATTTCTTTCCATCCATAGGTTCCAAAGAAGCGCTCGAAATGCACACTTCCACAAAAAAATATGCCTTTCCTTTGAGATGCCAACCAGCAAAGCTTTCCATCATCCAATCCTCAACCTTTCTCGGCATACAACCAGTAAACCAGAAAATCTCAAACAGAATCTGCCAACCTTTAGAAGCAAACGTACAATGTAGAAACAAGTGATCTAAAGATTCTGATTCCCTTAAACAAAGGCAACACACCGACGGGGAAATAGACCAATTTGGACATTTCTTCTAAAGTCTCTCGAAAGTGTTTTGAGCTCGGTAAGCTAAAGACCAAAGAAAAATCTTCACCTTCTCCGGAATAGAGTCTTTCCAAATAAAATTGATTAGGGGGGCTTGTAGCTTTGGGGAGTCGGTGTCCATTTGCTTCAACAAAGCTGATTTCGTTGTGAACTGACCATCCCCTCAGGGTGCCAGACCATCTTATCTGGTTCTCTGCCAAGGACAAAAGAGTCCAGCCCCTGTACTAACTTCACCCAACTCTCCATTTCTCTATCAAAAAGATCCCTTCTCAATGCTAGGTCCCATGTCTGGTTCTCCTCATTCCAACAATCTTTGACAGAAGCATTCTGTTTTAAGGAAAGAGCAAACATATCCGGGAATTCATGCAGAAGAGGCAAATTTCCAGCCCATTTGTCCATCTTTTTGGTAGAAACGATCTGACAGGGCATGAGTAATCCATCCAAAAAGAGATCAATGGAGTTTGTTAAAGGACAACCCGTGGGTTGGCCTGATGCTAGGAAGTATGGATATGGAATTGAGACCCGTGTATTGCGCGTGACACGGTAAGGATATGTTTATTAATATATATGTACCATCTTTATGTATTAAGAAAATTCAAAATCAATAAACTTATGTATTTTTATGCTTAAAAAATGAGTTTGATGTATTTTGCTGCCAAAAGTTTGATACTAGCCTAACAAGTACCAAATCCATATTCACTTCGTACCATTAGTGTATGACTCACGTCTATTGAACTAACAAGTGTCTGAGATGTGTTTAATAAGTGTTAGAGTGACTGACACGCATCGGACATGGACACATTACCCGAATAGAAATGTTTCTGCTTCTTAGACCCGATTGGATAAGCTACAAATTTAGATTTAAGGTCATAATTTTAAACTATGGGTAGCTGTCTATGTTAGTTATAAAATATCTTTCGACTTTTCTAACATTATATTAATTATTATATAGTAAGGATTAAGCTAGTCTGAAGCTGAACATCCATGATTATAAAATATAAGAAAACTAAGGATGGGAGTGTCATGATTGTCTGTCTGGTGACATGTATCCTCTTTCTTAACAACTTCGAAAAGCTTCAGATCGACTGTTCGAACGTTTGCATGACGCCTAGTTGAGTATTTTAATCATTTGATCTCTTTCTAAAAGGTAGAATTAATTTGGCAGGTAAGTTCAAGCCTGTGATCAAGAAGGCAATGGTGGAACTCGATGGTAATATATATTTTTCTGGAAAGAACATTATTATTATTTATTACTATATTACCACCTTCTTTACTCACAAGTTCGGAATTTTGATATACCATACTAAATTTCCATTATTCTATCCATATGGTCAGGTGCACCTTTCAAGAAATTTTCATTGTTCAGAGACCAGTGGGCAGTTGAGAACCGCTACATCAGTCCAGGTCGGTATTTTCGCCCTCCAACGTTAACATCAATATCCCAACTACTTCATATCTTAGCATGTTACTGCTGATTTTGATAAGGAAACTACCATCTTTTTGTTGCTTTTCTGCTATGAGTTCAATCCAGAAATTTAACCTTCAAATCTTTACTTGTTCTATCTGGTTTTTGTCTCATTACAGGTCCTATTCAATTTGTTGGTCCTGCATCAAATGTGCTTAATCACACTTTGTTATTGGAACTCGGGGCTCAGGCGTGATCATATTTCTTAACTCGTGACGATTTTCTGTCCACGACGCAAAAATAGAAGAAAAGAACTGTGTTGAATGTTTCCTTTGGGTGTCAATAATGCTTCTTCTTATTGCCTATTGGAACTCTATTTACAGGCTTACAGTAGGTTTATTGAATAAAAAGGGAAATGATAGACCAATTGTAATAAGATAGATCCTTTAGAATCAACAGTAGATTTTAGAACTTGTTTTTGTTCTGTGTAACAAAGTTCTAAAACATACCATTTGGATTAATTTTGTTGCAGAATGATCTTTGAAATAATTAAAAGTGTTTCAATAATTAGTGTATGTTTTCAAAAAGATTTTAGGGCAAAATATCTTTTTTGGTCGTGTTTGCAGCTTTTTTAATACAACAAACGGGGGGAGAGGTTCGAATTCATGATCTCTTGTAAAAATAGATACTAATTATTGCTAAGCTCATGTATTCGAATCTTACTGTTCTATTTTGACTTTGAATTTAGTTTTCTGCATTTTTAAATTATGCCCGCTTTTTTTTCTTCAATTTATTTACGATGTTTTTCATAATTCATACTAAAACATTTGAATTGTTACCAATTTTTTTAGGTTTTTAATTTCTTTTTTGTTTTTAAAATTTAACTTAGATTTTGAAAATGCTTCGTAGAAATTAGATAACAAAGCTAAAGACTTAATTGGATCGACAGGTTGAAGTTTTAATTTTATAAAGATATTGATATCCGTGAAAAACTTTAAAAAAAATTATGAAAATCATGGAAATTAATGAAACTTATTAGAATCAATAAATATTGATATAATTGGACTGTAATTGACTATTCAAATAATATGTATATGAAAATGTTTACTTTAGACATAAAATTTGAAAATGTTACTAAAATATATAAAAATCTTTGTACATTGTTAATGTTTAAATAGTTTCGACCAAGCTGAGTTCAAAAAAAGAAAAAAACAAAACAAAACAAAAACAATTGAAACTAATTCTTAAAGTTCTAAAAAAAAACTTAAAAAAAAATGTTGTGCCAGATTCCTTTCCGAAACGTAGCAGTTTATCACGACACTACAATCTGCATAAAAACTACGCGACCTTTCTCAAAATCCTCTCCTCTTCCCTTTCTCTCATTTCGATCAGCATCTCCCATGGCGTCACGAGACGAGAAGTCATCGAAGCCCTCCAGCAGTCGGCCCGGTGGCATTCGAACCCTTTCCGATCTGAACCGACGCTCGCCTGATTCCGTCGCCGACTCCGATGCTCCTCAAGAGTATTACACCGGTGGTGAGAAGAGGTCACTTTTCAACCCTAATTTCATGTTTCTCTTCTGTTCTTGCTTGTGGTTACGTTAATTTATTTTCCATTTCCATCACGAGTCTGTTTGATTTATCCTTTCTTTTTACTGTCTGAGATGAAATTAGTTGAAGGTTGATCAGTGCTGTGCCTATGGCTTTTTTGGGGGAAGGGTATTGTATTTCTCGTCGCTTTATTCGTTTGTTTTTTTAATCATGTTTGGATTCCTTTTGGACAATTGGACTTCGGCCGACGTTGTTGGATATTGAAATTGAAATAGCAGCGATTAAAGATGACGTAGTTGAGAAGAAATTCAGTCATTTTTCATGGTTTCATTGGGACAAGTGATTTGCAACATTGAAGAGACATTTTACTCGATGGTTAAGCTGCGGAATATCATATGTAGAGAGGAGGCCAACAGGTTGGTAGTTCTATCTTGGTAGAAATCTTGAACTCTTTGGTTGGATTTGTTTAGCGACTGCAGTGAGCGATTATATTCTATATCAGGTGAGGGATAGTCGCTCGCTACTATATTAGGTGAGTGATGGTGGATAATTTCAATGTGGGACTCAGTTCTGTAACTTGGTACTAGTGTAGGGTAGTGATGATCTTTCTTCCTCTTAATGTTAGCTAAAGGAGAACTGGCAGGAGTCAGACCTGAGGTAGTAGGCTTCCAAGTTTTGCTGTCATGAGATTAATTGAATGTCACACGATCAAGTTTCACTGAGAGAGCAAACCGTCCCTTTTCAATATTCCTGTCCATCGAGTTTCTTTGATGCAGTAAATGGTATTCTCATACCTCATTTTTATACCCTTTGATACTGTACCACTTAAAATGAGCCAAATCATGCCTCAGATATTTGTTCACCCCCAATCAAGCATTTTATTAAAAAAAAAAAAAAAAAAAGACTTTGGAACTTGTTGATAAGACAAGGTGGCTTTAATTGGCATCATATGCAAACTAGCTCCAAATTACACAATTACCCAAGCTTTTCTTCACTGTATTCACTAGAAATAACTCTATGCCATAAGGAAGAAAGCTCCAAGGGACTTCCAAAACCATTTAGAACGGGGTGCTGAATTCTTCACTGTAATGCTATGGAAACATAGAAGGGAACTATAAATTCTTCATTCTAATGTTATTGAGACCAAGGTCACCACAAGAAATAGGTAAGGAAACATTCTTCCAGTTCACCATATGGCTGCCACTTTGAGGCTCCTTCCTCAGAAGTTCCTCGGAAGCTATTCTATTCTAGAGCTTGCTTGCTTCGGATTCTAAAAAGATATAAAACATAAGTTGGAAACTCTGGAATGATTGAGATAAAGTCAATTTTACCCCTTGAGATAAGGGTCTTCTTCCACTTTGATAGCTTATGTTTATAGGCCACACAGGTGATACTTTGCATTGTACACTCGTAGAAAGATTATGGAAAACCCATTTGATCCCAGATTCATCGAAAAAGATTGTTCCATAAATTTTGGTCAGAGGGGGCACTGGAAAAACAAATAAGCATTCTCATTACTTCTGAAATCTGCTGTATTTAAGCTCTCCAAGTAGCAGCAAACTCCAGACAAAAAATTCAATCCTTTTTTTTCTTCTTCTTCTTCTTCTTTCTTTTATTATTATTATTTAATTTATTTATTTTGGTTTTTCTGGTTTCCAACTAGCCTTGGTTGGGATGATAGGCATCTCTCTTTGGGTGGCTTTCATGAGAGAAAACAGAGATTTGCAGGAAAACATTTACTCCTCGTTTTGGATTAAACTCAATCACCTGGAAGCAATTAACGTTTAGATCATTTAGATTTCATCTCAACGGAATAAACCACCAACCTTTAAGCTCCTGAACAATATATGTCAATTTGATTGATCTGGTTAAAATAAATATCAGGGAACAATGTTCCGAGAGATAGATCAGAAATTAACATGCTCTCCACAATTTGATTACTATCTGATCCCCAAATCTACGCTTAGATGAGCTTATAAGGTAGTTTTCAGCTTAGAAAAGGAGAGCACACTCAAATTAATTTTAACTGTGCCCCAGCTCAACTGCTCAACACCGTATTAACTATTAATAGCAACCTCCTTCTGCCATAAAGCATCTGGTTCCAGGTAGAAGCTCCATGGTCATTAGATTTCATATTTGTAATCGAAATTGGTATTTTGTGGCTGTATATGGTTTTGGTATTATGTATTAATTTATGCTGATCTAAGCAATAATTTAATATCGGATCTAACGTAATGATTTGTTTTTCTTGTCTCTCTTCCCTCCCCTCCACTTAAATGAAAGAAAGAAAGAAAAAAAACTGTCCAATTATTATATATGCCAATTCTAATACCAAGCTCCTTTTGGAAGTTAATCTGAAGTTGAGAATATTGGTAGATGCTTATTGGATGCTAACACTGCTACCCAACTTTCAGTGGGATGCTTGTCCAAGATCCAACAAAGGGTAATGATGTCGATTCACTTTTCAATCAAGCTAGGCAAATGGGAGCTGTGGAAGGCCCTATTGATCATGCCCGTTCATCTTCAAGCTCAAGCAGCTTTACCGGAACTGGTAGGTTACTTACAGGAGAAACTGTACGTTCTGCACCTGATCAGCCTGAGAACATTGTTCACAATATTGTATTCTGGAGTAATGGCTTTACCGTAAACGATGGCCCTTTGAGGAGGTTGGATGATCCTGAAAATGCAACCTTTCTGGAGGTAAGTGGACAATACTGATAATGTTCTAATGAAATATTTTTGCGTGCATGCACGCACGCATCCATTTACATTTTTGTATGTATATCATAAGAGTGGAAACAAATTGAAATTCATTTTATGGGCAATACTTGATCCTTTACAAGTGTTTCCAAATTTGTTGATTGCTTGAAGAAAATGTTGTGGAATACGTTCTTACTTTTTTAGCTTGATTTTTATAAATTCAAATTTCATTTGATCTTAGTAGCAAACTTGCAAATAAGAAATCATACTGATCACTGTCCTGAGGTGGTTGTGTTTACATATTTGTATTATTTGACTCCAGAGCATCAGAAAATCTGAGTGCCCCAGAGAACTCGAACCTGCTGATAGGAGGTCCTCCGTTCATGTGAATTTGATTAGGAGGATGGAGGAGTATCGTGTAAGTATGCTTGTTTATGAACCACGATAAACGACAGAAATTTATTCTGTCGAGGATCGAGAAACTGTAAAAGTTTATAGGCTGGAGCATATAAATATTACACTTGGTATTTTGCGTCTTGCAGGAACCAGAGAAGCCACGTCTTCCATTTCAAGGTGTGGGAAGAACTCTTGGAGATAGCGGGCCAGCTCAAGCAGCAACCCAACCAACTGCTACTCCCACTGATGTCAATGGCAATCCAAGCCCTTCTGCAGGCCTGATCGTGGACGAATCGTTGCCATCAACCTCGATTCAGCTTAGGTTGGCTGATGGAACACGCATGATAGCTCATTTCAATTACCATCACACAGTAGGCGATGTTCGTGCTTTCATCGACGCGTCTAGGCCAGGGGGTGCCAGGAATTATCAGCTGCAGTTGATGGGGTTCCCTCCAAAGCTTCTTAGCGACGTGGGTCAGACAATACAGCAGGCTGGTCTTGCCAATTCTGTTGTCATCCAGAAGTTTTAGCAACAAGCTTTTACGCATTGAAGTTGTTCAAAGATTGGGAAAATTTGTGATGTATATTCGATTCGAAGTAGTCAAGATCGTTTGAATATCGTCAGTGTTGCAGTCCTTAGAGAGAGGATACTTGAGTTCATGTTCTGCCTCAGAGACTTGGAAGTCATTTTCTGCTATTAGTTACTGCAAAAATTCGTCTTTTAGAACTATATATTTTTCAGCTTGCATTTCTGTCTAGGAGTGTTGTCGGGGTGTGGATGCGAACGTTCCTGCAAATTTTGCGGGGATCGGGTTGGAGATTCTCCACAGCGATCAAGCTCCTACGTGAAATTATTCCCCATTATTTTTCTTTTAAGAAATTCTCTCAGGTAATTCTTCATTTTAATAGTTAAATTTCAATGATGAATCCTAGGAAAGGAAAATTGTAAAATTTTCTTAGAACGTCTATAATTCATAATACAAATTATCAAATATAKAAYCGGGACTATGAAGGAAAATTTTGAGAGGAAAGAAAGAAACTATGAAAGGTCAACCATCGGGATAGAATTAGAAGCCTCATCTTCGCCCTCTACCTATTTAGGAGAGGGAGAAAACGAGGTAGAGACTAAGTATATAGTTTAGGATAGGAGAGGGAGGAAGAATTTAGGGGGAGAGAAAATTTGAAGGGGTTTCGTTTAAATAGTTAAAAAGAAATCAGGTGGGGATGAGATATATATATATATTTTAAGAATACAACGATAYGTGAGGTGGAGATTTGAACTCGGTCGAATTTGTCCTCGTATAGGTGACGGGGACAATATTCTCAACTTTGTAATGTTAGAGCCTAAACGGGGAGAAGAAAAAGTAACATCTTTATTTGTATATTTCAGAACTGTTATTTTATATTTCAATTTTGAGAGGGTGAGGAAGAGGTCGAAGTTGAATACTTTAGGATTAGAGGTCAAGTTGAATATTTATAGTAAGATTTTAGAACAGAACAAGTAATCTCAACTATGGAAGTTCAATACTTGTATTTGGTGTGGGAGTGCTGGTCACAAGTGTAATTTTTGAAAGATTCACTATTCACACTCTGCTTATCATCCGTCATTAGATGATGAAATTCTCAATATTTTAAATGGCGATGTCGATAGAAATGTTGAGATCTCATTTTATGGAGACGATCGATGAAAATATTGATAAAATGTTGATGTCCATAATATTTTGGGAGAGGTTATAAAAATGAAAAAATTCGTACAAAATATTTAAATTAACAAATAAGCCTTTCACCCTTTTTAAATAAGATAAAAATCATTAATATTAATATTATGTCTATATTAGTGATATTTTGTTGATATTTTGTGCTTTTTTTTATAATATTATAGAAATATCGATTTACTCCTCTCATATTGATGTCGAATTAAAGATACATTAAAATGTCAATAAAAATATCGAACATATTAACTAAAATTRAATACCTTACTTACACCACAAGGCGGGAGAGTCGTGAAGAACAAGTCGAGAGTCTTTGTAGAATGTTAATGAACCAAAGTACATAATCTACCCTCCAAATCAAGGAGAAGAGTGGTGGGTCCATCATCACAAAGWAATTTAGCCAGGTTACCTTTACTCCTRCCTAATATATTGGGCAAGAAAAGCCAACTCCAACTCTCATGGAAGATTTTTTTTTTTTTTTTATAGGATTAAAGGTCAAATAGAGGAATTTGATAACGTTCACATTTCTTATTTCTCTTTTCTCATTTTTGTGTATAAAGAAAAATAGGATTGCAGAATCTTCACCCCTACCCCTAGATGAATTCAAGATTGATAAAACAAAATTTTTATTTATGTTGAAACACATCAGAAACAGAAACAATAAACACGAAACTTTTTTTTTATTATTTCTAAAATTTCTATAGAATTTTGAGAATATTTTTAAAAACTAAAACAAAAAATATATATATAAACAATTTTCAAATACTTAAATTTTTTAATAAAATTGAAAATAAAAAATAAGGAAGGAGATTGTTAGGAACTATAATTTTTATTAAAGTTAAAATATTTCTGTCTCATGGAATTCGAGGTTTAAATCTCAAACTCTCCCATTGTGGTGTAATATATATACACATATATATTTTTTCTTTTTTTCTCTTTTTAAAGAAAAGAGTAACATTTTTATTAAATATGATATTAAAATAGATTAACTAAAATATAATAGAGATTTAAATCTTATTTTGTTATTTGAATCTTATTTTGTCTATTTGTTATCCATTTTGGTCCATCCACTAAAAAATACTTTAAGTCCTATATTGTTTTTTTCGTCTTTTGTACTATAAAAAATTTAGTCCGTGTACTTTTAAAAAATGATAATTTCAACTCATTTATTTTCATTTGTATGTTATGTTAACCACAATTTCAACGTAATACTCCACCCTTAAAAGTTAAAATATTCTCACCAAAAAAATTTTTTTTGCGCCAACTTGAGCATAGCTCATCTGATTAAAGCATCTGTCTCCGATAAAAAAGTCGTATATTTAAGTTTCCACCTTCACATGGTGTACTAAAAAAAATTGTTGTACATACAACTTGTGTTATGATTTTACACATTAACAAAATGGAAGGACCATTTTTTAAAACTATCATAACCAAAATAATGAAAATAATAACACTTACTTGCTACCCACCCCCGACCATCGTTAAAATTTTGACAGAGGAGAAAAATACTAGAAAAGAGATATTAAGAAAAATGTAAATTTTTTAGTATGTGTTCCTCGATCCAGAATAGAATATTCTRTTTTTTGTTTTCAGATTTACTGAATTAAATGGATTCATGTATATTTGAGAAATTCGTTTTTTAAAACTGTTTAAAATTTTGTGATCTAGAAATTTTGAAAACAACTTTTCTATGTTTTCAATGTTTTCTTAATTACATTAAAAATGATAAAAATTTTGATAAATATATTCCTTCATATTATAAAATCATAATAAATCATATAATCTTGTAAAATAATAATTATATAAAATTTAAAAAAAATGTTAATAAATTAATTAATATAATTTAGATTAAACTAAATATTTAGTTTTAATYTGTAACTATTYCTAGTTTTAGGAATATATTACTTAACGTAACTTAAACAATTTTAAATTGAGATTCAATTACGAATCGTTTTCTTTTGACCATTTAGTTATATTAAAATTAAAATAATAATAATWATTAAAAAACGGAAATAAACATACAAACTTCCAAGTTCCAACGTACGTGTGAATGTAAAGGGCCGCGGTTGGGTTGCGCTCCAAAGAAGGCGTCAGTGAGTGTGGATTGGATACTGTTCTTCTCTTCTTCCACGATCATCAGATTAATGGCGATGATGAAGAACTAGGGTTTTGTTTCTGTTCTTCCTCCGCCCCCGATTTCCAATTTCTAGGGCTTCCATTTCCCCTGCTTCTCTCTGCTGTCATATCTCTCAATTCCGTCCCATTTCCACCACGCTCCCATTGCTCCCTCTCTCATGGCCAAAACCAGACCGCCCAAGAAAGACTTGGACTCCTACACCATCAGAGGCACCAACAAGGTCGTTAGAGGTAAAATGTGAGCTTATGGGTCTTGTTAATGGTGCTTTCCCAACGAAATGAGTGCTGATTTGCTGGTTTTTGCAGCTGGAGATTGCGTGCTGATGCGCCCATCGGAAACGAGTAGGCTCCCCTATGTAGCGCGCATCGAGAAGATCGAAGGTGATAACCGGAACAACGTTAAGGTTCGAGTGCGGTGGTACTACCGACCGGAGGAGTCGATTGGGGGCCGGAGGCAGTTCCATGGAGCCAAGGAGCTCTTCTTGTCTGACCACTACGACGTGCAGAGTGCTCACACCATTGAAGGGAAGTGCATTGTGCACTCGTTCAAGAACTACACTAAGCTTGACAATGTGGGTGCTGAGGATTATTATTGTAGATTTGAGTACAAGGCTGCTACTGGGGCTTTCACGCCGGACAGAGTTGCTGTGTTAGTTTTCACTTTTTGTTGCGTTGCCTTGTGTGTAATTCTAGTGCAAATTGCTTGAATGGGTTTCAATTTTTTTTGTGTGTTTTTTCTTGCAGCTATTGCAAATGTGAGATGCCTTACAACCCGGACGACCTCATGGTGCAGTGCGAGGTCTGCAAGGATTGGTAAATCTCCTTGTTATACTTTTTGTGTGCTGAATCGCTGGTTTCTCTCGTGTGTTTGCACTTTCCAGTGTGAAGTATTTACATAACCAATTGAAGGGCTTGATTTGTGTGTACGAGAGTATGCGGAGCATAATCATAATGAACTAAGAATAATTTTAGGATMATTTTTAAAGTAGTGCTTTAACGTGGAGCCTTCTTCAGTTCTTATTTATTTATTATTATTATTTTTTTTTTAGTAAGAAAATTTTTAAAGTACTAGGGAAGTGCTTCTCACTTTAGAGTTCTTTTCGAGTGTTTTTAGATTTTTCAAAAGCACTTTTGGTTATGTAACCAAATATGGTTAATTTTTTTAAAAGTACTTTTAATGGGTTAAAGTAAGCTATACCACAGTCACCTTAATTAAAGACAGATTTATAGATGCACTGAACTTGGCTTTCAGCATCAATGATCATCTGCAATTCGTTAAAATTGCAACACAGACATTATAGTAGGTAGCCAAAAGATCACCTGGATCAGTTAATTTTGTTCCATCTGTAGGTAGGCGGAACTGACCCTCAAAGTGCAATGTGATGTACAGTCTTTTATGCATTGTAATTTGTTGCTAGAAATAGAATATTCACTCAAACTCTATTAGAACTCGATAACTAAGTTCTGATTGGAGTGGCTATTATATCATTTTGTTTTGTGCTGAAACTTCTAGGAGAGTCCCAAACCCAAGAACTCACTCTTGAAGCTTTGTTGCTATCTGAAAGCACAGAACTCTAGTGTTTCCTTTGGTCTATAGGTATCATCCTGCTTGCGTAAGCATGACGATCGAGGAAGCAAAAAAATTGGACCATTTTGTGTGTTCTGAATGTGGACCTGATGCTGACATCAAGAAAAATGAGAATACGTTTTCAGCATCACCGGTGGCGGATGGGAAGGTTAGTAACTGTTGTCTGTTGTTTCCTACGTACAATGGTAGTTTGATATTGTTGCTTCCTGCATACAATGATAGTTCGAATTCGATATTGATAATCTTTGTCAGCCTATTAGCCTTTATGCACTTCAACTCATGTCAGATGTTTCTTTTTCTTTTCTGGTGARTTTAAAGATTAAGTGAGAAGCACAAGTACAGACAAGAAGACAAGTTAAATACACAATGTTTGGAATCATAGTTCATGTGAAATGTGCAGACGATAACTTTAGTTCCTTTAACAATCAGTGCAATCATATTCTAATTGATTAGCTTTCAATGTTTTTCTTTTTATTCACTTGCTATTATTTATGATCCTTAAAGGCCGGCCATTGGGCTTCCTTTAATGGTTCATTTTTTACTTTCATTGATAGCTACCTAAAACTTTTCTGCATGTATTAGAAAGTGAGTTGAAAGCTCTTTTTGTGAATTTCATTCATCAATGATATCGTGTGTTTTCATAACAAGCATTAAAAGTGAGTTTCTTAGTAAAAATATGTCGTCTTTTTTGGCTTTGCCCGTCATATTGTCAGTTTGTTTGTTTTACATATGGTTTTCCAACTTTCTAACAAAAGGTTTGGATATAATTATTGGAAAGAACCACCCTTGGATCCAACTAAGAGGACAGAATTCATTGGGATGCCACCTACCTAAGGATCAAAATATTAATCGTCCTGAAATATCGCCCCATGGCCCCCACCCCCTTTGGACAATTACCACTTTCTTATCTGTCAATGCAAGTACATTATATAGGATACCTTTATCATTTTTCACATTCCGGATTTGAGCTGTATTGTGTAGGCAAGCTTTTCCATTAACTTAATAGATCCGTTGTTTATTAGGAAATAGTACTCCTTTCTTGTTTTTTTGATTTTCTGACATTAGTGTGGGACACTGTTATTGATATAGCGAAAAATATAATTTGCTTTCTATGGTCTGAAAAGCTGTTATCATGGATTAAAACCAACGCCAACTCTCTCCATTTTCTGCATCTTTTTTTTTTATTCGAACATTTTACAAGAGTGTCAACCAGAATGGCATGGCTTTCAAGTTGTGTTACATTGCTCTTTGATCCATTTAAAAGAAAAGGTATTGACAAATTATCTTTTATAATAATACCATGTTTAAATTAAATATTTAATCTCATCTAAAGTTGATTGTCTTTTGCATTTCTTACACATCAAGGCCCTTGTATCAGTAATGCTGTTTCTTAATATTGTTTGAAATTTCCTTCATCTTAGCTGAAAAGTCATCTATCATACAACGTATTTATGTTGGTTATAAATTTTACATTTGAAATAAATGAATGAAACTTGTATGAATTCATACTTCCACCTTTCCTTTTGACTGCCATTGTCATCTGCATTTTCAGTGATTCCCTTTTGATGAATTATTATGTGCTTCCTTTTTCACAGCCTTCTGAATTAAAAAGGCTGCAACACCTCTATGTGGAAAAGAAATGCTTTCTTTTCTTTCTTTTTTTTGAAAAGAAAAGGAATACCTTTACATCTTGTAGGAAACAGAAACGAATATATTGTAGGGGAGATGTAAAGAAAAAAGGAGATAAGATATCTCCTATATATCAAGGGATTACAAAACGGACTCCCGATGAGCGGAAAAAAGGAAAAAAAAAATACTTAAACCCCCTGCTAATACACATCCATTTTCGCGATTTTGGCTCGAGACTTCATCAAGCTACAAGTATACTAGTTATCTCCACGGCAGGAGATGTTTCGGGTGGGTAAGAATTAATAAAAGATTGAAGGAACCAACTTCTGTACAAGGATGAGAACAACATGATTGGTTGCTTTAAGATTCTTCATGTGTTCTTTGATGTGTTGTGTTAAACGATTAACGTAGAGTTCGTTATTGTTTGCAGCTCGAGCCAAAGCGACGGAAGCGATGATTGTCGGCATTCTTTGTCAGATTCAACCATGGCAGGAGGTTCAATTTCAATTGATATTTATGGTAGAATGTGTATAGCATAGCTTGGACTTTTCTGTGTAAAACTTTAGTTTAGTGACTGAAGTTATATGTATGTGTGTATGATGTAGTAGTTAGTACTCAGTAGTAGGACTTTAGGGAGTTTGTCAAGAACAATTCAGGCTGGTCTTGAATCCTTTGGCTAAACTCTCCTGATTCTGTTTAGAAATTTTTGGCCCGTTTAATAACATTTATATTTCTTGTTTTTTTTTCTTGTTTTAAACTTTTTAGAAACACAAGCGTAAGCGTTTGGTAGCTGTTTACGTCTCTCTCTCTCTCCTTTTTTTTTTGTAAGAAACGTTCCCAACAATTTTGGGAACAACAAATCAAGTTTCTTGTTTGTTGTTTTCGTTTATAATTGTCTTATCATTCTTTACTTATAAAATGCATAAAAATTGGAAAYTGAATTAAAAAAATTGATTACTAAACACGTTTTTATTTCTCTTTTTAATAAAGAAAGAACAAGAAATAGTTATCAAAGTGGTTCTGTTTTTATTTTTTTTAAAAAAAAAACAAGGAACATAAACATTATCAAATGGTCTTTTAGATGTCGTCGAAAAATGGTCGATTCTAAGACTACGATTGAAACACACAAAAGAAATAATCAAAGAAGTGAAGTAAAGTTAGTGTGTGATCCAAAGAAAGAAAGAAAAGTTAGGCATTTGCTGTTTGGCGTGGGTTTCAGCTCAAAAATGGCAACCAGTTGGGAAATTATGAACAACTTTTATACGTTAAAACATCAAACTTTGCTTCCATTTTTGCTTTAATCTCTCTTCTAAGTTACTTTCTTCACATTAACCTTGCTCCTCTCTCTCTCTCTCTCTCATATATATATATAAGAGTATATAGAGAGAGAGAGAGATCATACAATATGGCAATACTTAATACTTGGATCATGGAGTTTTCTTCACTACTAATATTTCTACTGTTTTGGAGTTTTTTTCTTCCTTGTTTTRCAGAAGAGAGAGAAATCTACTTGGTCTTAATGGAAGACGACGACCCAGTTGCCTTCCACCAAAGTGAGAGGACAACTRGTCCGAGCTTCGAGTTAAGTATCGTACAAGGACGGAGTGAAGAAGGAAGAAGAAAAACACTACTSCTTAGTTTTCTTTTTAATTCYAAAGCGGGTTTGATATGATGATTTTGTTTTTGATTTTTGAAAATAATAAGTCACGAATATGTTTTTARAAAATGTGTTTCTATTTTTGAAACTCGACTAAAAATTCAAACGTGTTTTTTTAAGAAAGATGATAAATATAGGGAAAAGAAAACTTATTTTTTACCGTTTAATTAAACTTGRCATTAAAATCTCCGACCCTTTTAATTGAAGATATATGCATTGAATAGTTAAGCTATATACTCAAGCCGAAACATAGTTTTTAGATTCTTTCTCATCTGATCATAGTAGTATCTAATACTAGAATTATCGAGCACCCTCAAATAACTTCTCCCGATCGTCACTACAACTAAATATATATAAAAATCCTCTTAAAAAGTGTAAAAACTGACTGTTTCTTTTTGGTTTTTTTAAAAGAAGAAACAGCAAAGTTTCAAAAAAGGCAGCACCAAGAGAACTGGAGGGATTCCACGACCAGTTTCTTGAGAAAAGTCTAAGAGTGGAGAGCTACACGAAGCTTCACAGCTTCAAGCACATCATCAATGGGTTCGCGGTCCACACGACGCCATCGGAGGCGAGAAAGCTGAGAGAAGCTGAAGGGGTTGTGGCTGTGGAGAGAGACAGAGGAGTGAGGAAGATGACAACTTACACCCCTCAGTTTCTAGGGGTTCCCTCCACATTAAGGGCAACAGTGGGATGCAAGAGGAATGAAAGTAGTGGTGGAGAGGGGATTGTTATTGGGTTTGTGGACTCTGGGATTGACCCGACACACCCGAGTTTCGGTTTCGGTTTCGGTCTCGGTCTCGACGAGTCTTCTAAGTTTTGTGGGGTTTGTGAGGAAGGTCCTTTTTTTGGTTCAAATTCTTGCAATGGGAAGATTGTGGGAGCAAGATTTTTCTGTGCTGGGGCTCAGGCTGTTTCACAACTCAACTCTTCTGTGGATTTCCTCTCCCCTTTTGATGCTGAAGGCCATGGAAGGTAAGCCTTCAACCTTAGCTTTTGTGTTTATTTGTTTGTTTAACAGGGGTTCTTGTTTTGTAACGTTCTCGTTTCTTATTCATGTTTCTTCCTTTTTAGTAAGAAAAAATAGAGTTGCATGGCTTTCAACGGCTAAACACGCGTGGATTCAAAAATAAATCAAACAAAATTTTTATTTAGGTTGGAATGAATTGGTAATCGAAACAATAAAATAAATAAGGAAACAAGACATTTTTGTATTGTTTCTCAAAACTTTTATAACATTTCGAGAATGCTTCTAACAAATAATAAACGAGAAACAAAACGCTTAGATTTCTTAATAAGATTATAAATGAGAAACAAGAAACAATAATGTTATCAAATGGATCCTTAATTTTTAAACCTTTTATTTTGATGGTTAAAGTTTGTATAGAGGGCTACTTTTAAATTTTAAGTCTTTGTTTTTTATAATTATTTAGTTTTTTCTTTTTTAAAAATTATATATATATATATATATATTTTAAATTTGTCAATCTAAGTCTCTCAACTGATTAAAATATTTATCTCTGATTAAAAAGTTCGTAAGTTCGAATTTTCTCCTTCACACGTATTATACTCAAATATATATATATATATATATATATATATATATATATTTTGAAATTAATTTGGTATGCTAGTACGTCAAAGAATATTGGGTTTTAAAATATATGTGAGTTCATTGTAAATAATTGATGAGAAAAATTAAGTGAAAAAAATATAGAATATTTGAAAGTTTATAATATGAAGGAAAAAACCATTAAAAACTTAGGGTGGTGGGTTGACTTGGGACTTTAATTTGATTATAATCGTTATTATATTATATTTAACTGATCTTAATTTTCATTGAACTGATTGAAATCAAAACATATATTTTTCTATTTTAATTTAGTTGAATAAAAATATATTTGGACATGGTTATCAGCCACGTGGCATCTATAGCTGCTGGAAATGCAGGGGTTCCAGTCGTTGTTAATGGTTTTTTCTATGGATTGGCCAGTGGGATRGCGCCACGTGCACGGTACATTAACACATTCCCAACATATATGTCATTATTATACGAATTTTCAATTTTGGCTCATTAAATTTCAATTCCATTCGTATGCTTTTTAATATATAAAACTTCAATACTCTTTCTTACAAAATTTAGTGTTAAATACAGTAAAGAAAAAGTGATTTTTATTAAAAGATTTCATTACGTATAAAAATTCGTATTAAAATTTTACAAATAGGGATCAAAATAATCCCTTTTTAAAAATACATCACCAAAACAAACATTTTTTTTAGAGTATAATAGCCACAATAGTATTTAATCCATAAACATATATCATTGTGCTTAAGTTAGAATTAACTAATTTGGTTTAAAGTGATTTTTCTTTTTTCTGGACAGAATTGCTATTTATAAGGCTGTGTATCCAACAGTGGCTACTCTAACAGATGTAGTTGCAGCCATAGATCAAGTAAGTTCTTCATACGTCCATTTAATATCGAGTTTCGAAATAGATAGCTTAAGATTTGACGGGAATGCCAAAAACGAGTCAAAGTTTAAGAACCAAAATAGAATATTCGAAAGTTCGAGTTTCATGTCGGGATTTGTTTTGAACAAGTGCAGGCAATTATTGATGGAGTTGATATATTGGCATTGTCTGTTGGACCAAATGAACCACCAGAAGTAGGATTTACGTTTCTAAGCATATATGACATTGCTGTATTATCTGCCACACGAGCCGGAATCCTTGTGGTTCAGGCTGCCGGAAATAACGGCCCGGCCCCGTCAACCGTCGTCTCTTACAGCCCTTGGGCTGTCGGCGTGGCCGCTTCCGGCACCGACCGAGTTTATCCGGCCTCACTTCTCCTTGGCAATGGCCAAAAMGTTGGAGGCACAGGCTTGTCTGGTATGTCTAATATGTTGATTAGAACTTGGTATAAATTAATTAAGAAGATACAAAATATGAAAGAATTAGATGTAATTCTCACTAACTGAAAGCAAAACTATGAGAAAAGTTTGTTTAATGTTAAAAAAAAAATGGAAATGTGGYTCATTGCTTGCTTTTATGCATATTAGTGCTATAACTTTCAGAGAAGTTCTCCCTTTTTACTTATCTAGTTCATCGTAATCATTTCTAGTTTGAGGAGCCCTGTTCAGAGATGAGATTCTCATGGCGAAAATTACCTATTTTGTAATTAATTTTAAATACTTTTAAATTTAAATTTTTAAATTTTTAAATATATATATATATAAATGAAAGAAAATTATATAATGAAAATTATAATGAGAAAATTTAGAGAGAYGTGTTTTGTTAATGAAAAATAAATTAAAAAGATGAAAAAGCTATTGAGGAAAATTTTAAATAGAAATTTTATAGATTTATTTTTTAGATAACGTAAATTAGAAAGATAAAGAAAGTTATTAGAAGAAAAAAAAAAGATCAGAGAGAGAAAAGTTTGAGAAAAATGTTTCAATAAATTTTTTGGGAGGAAAACATTTTAGAGAGAAATTTGTTACTAAGAATTTGAAAATCGTTTTTGGAAAACATAAACGATTATCAAACAAATTTGTTTTTCAAAAACTAAAAACAGAAAACAAAATAATTATCAAACAACCTGTTTAACAAATCAAATTTAACTACTCTATTCATCTTCCTCAGGACCCACTCTGGGGAGTGAGTTTTTGCTACATAAGCTGGTATTGGCCAAGGATGCAGTGAACCAAAATGTGGCACTTCCCACTGAAGAGTGCCAATATCCTCAAGCTTTTGACCCAAATATTGTCCAAAACAGCATAGTAATCTGCTCCTTCTCTCAAGGATTCCTCAATGGAACCTCCACCCTCACAGCTATCCTTCACACTGCAGCAACACTCAGATTCATGGCTTTTGTTCTCGTTGCAAATCCGAGCTATGGCGACTTCATTGCAGAACCCATCCCCTTCAGAATTCCTGGCATTCTCGTCCCGAGCGTTTCAGATTCTCAGGTACAATATCTACTTTGATTCAAAACCAGYGAGAAACAAARTCGTTATCAAACAAGAATATCTGAGAATTTCTATTTGCGCTCGAAATAAATATAGGTGATATTGAAGTACTATGAGGAAAATATATGCAAGGATGGGAGGGGAATGGTTACAAACTTTAAAGGCAAAGCAGCCATAGGAGAAGGAAGATTTGCTTCATTTGGGGGCCAAGCTCCCACAGTTAGCAGATTTTCATCAAGAGGACCAGATTACATGAACAGTAATAGGACTGCAGCTGATGTGCTAAAGCCCGATATTCTCGCTCCAGGTCACCAAGTTTGGGCTGCTTGGAGCCCCCTTAGTGCCTCGGAGCCACTTTTAAAGGGTGAGTTGAGCCAGTGTAAAGTTCTGTTTCGGTCTCTAAACTTTTATTTATTTTCTGCTTAGTCACTTGATTTCGGTCCTTGAACTTTCATCACTTTTTGTTTTGGTCCTTTTTCGCTTTATGGATTGAATAGGATACCATTTTGCACTCTTGTCTGGAACAAGCATGGCAGCACCTCACATTGTGGGAATAGCAGCACTTATCAAGCAAAAGAATCCTTCTTGGACTCCTTCCATGATAGCTTCTGCAATGTCCACAACTGCTACAAAGTATGATATGAATGGAGAGCTTATTCAGGCAGAGGGATATGGCATTCATAGTTTATATCCTTCTACTCCCTTTGATTTGGGCGCTGGCCTCGTCTCTCCGACCAATGCTTTAGACCCGGGATTGGTCTTCCCATCAGGTAAATTCCAACAATACACACTCTACCTTTTCACTATGTCGTATAATGTGGTTTTGAAAATCTAAAAGCACTTGAAAGGGAAAAAAAAACACTCAAACAATGTCCTTTTCCTCTAACAATGCTAGTTAGGAAAATGTTTTACTCGAAAATGCCATTCCTTGAATAGATTCGACACGCTCATAAAACAAGAAAACCATACCATGTCATTTCAACATGAAAATTGGATAGCTGAGATTATATTTGAGGATACATTATGATTCTAGTCACTATATTATGCCATTTTTCAGCATTTCGGTTCATGTTGTTACATAATTTGCATTTTTACTCTTACTATTCAGCATGATATACCACATCAATGGCTCCTTACTATTCAACCACATGATTAACATAAACTATAGTATATTTTAATAAAAGTACATGAACTAAAAATGAAACGAAGAAAAGCATAGATATCAAAACACTAAAAGTCGTTGAAGAAAACTGACCAGCCATCTTGAAACAGAATATGAAGACTATATAAACTTCTTGTGCTCTTTACCTGGCGTTGATCCTGCTGTCATCAAAAGCACCACTGGAAGACATTGCAATGCCTCTCTCTCACAGCCACACCCAGCAGATCTGAACCTTCCTTCACTCACAATATCATCACTGGTTGGGCAACAGGTGGTGCAGAGAAGAGTGAAGAATGTAGGAGGCAAAGTGGAGACATATGTGTGGTCGGTGATCCCGCCGAACGGGACAACAGTCGACATCWATCCGCCATGGTTCGCCATAGCGCCAGAAGGGGTCCAAAACTTGGAAATACAGATCAATGTCACACATAAAATGGATCACTTTAGCTTTGGGGAGATTGTTTTGACAGGAAGTTTAAACCATATTGCAAGGATCCCTTTGTCAGTTTTGGCTGTTTCTACATCCTAAAGGACAGGATTGGTTCATTTTCTTTGAAAGTCTCTCTATATTCCTTACTTTTAAAAGGGGGTAAAATTTTTCAAAAGATTATAATGTGTAAAATGTCAAATAAGTGATAGTTTCAAGATGAAACTAGTACACTAGTGTAGTTCTTAGAAATGAGCTCAAAAGTTTGAATATTACCAATATAGAAAGAAAGATCTTGTTGCTATAACATTTGAGAGCTAGTAGTTCTAATGGCAGACTGTTCTGTCTTTTTGTACAAAAAGGAAGTTTAGCCTGTCTTAAGAAAAAATCTTTTGAATGGTTTCTAAAGGTGAGATACAACTTTTCAATATCGATGGCGAATCTATATATAAATTCATGTGTAATTTCTGTTCTTTTAAATTTTAATTCATTTACAATTGTGGAACACAATTTAAGACGAGACCCTTTAAAGGTGGTCTTMTCACTAATGAATATCTCGTTTGATGTTTTGAAGAAAGAAAAAAGTTTCCTTTAATATAAACTATAAAAATGGCCTCTTGTATATTTCAAACTATGAAGTATTTTTTTCATAAGGGGAAAAAAAACCTATAAAGTTTCATCTCCTGTTACTTCATACGGTAAGTTTTGTACAATTTTTCAATTATAGAGTAGCCTACTGTACAATTTTTCAATTATAGAGTAGCCTACTCTCATTTTTCATCTGTATACTGCAAAATTCCATGCATCTTCTTCCCGAAAAAAGAGCAACCTTCAAACTAACCTAAACCTAACTTAACTGGTTAAGATATAGCACATATATCATTGACCAAAATATCGAAAGCCTACATGTTGAACTTAAAAAAAAAAAGTGAAACTCTAAAAATAGAAAACATCACCAAGAAAGAAACATTGAATAAAWCATGTCAGGATAATTTCCAAGGACATAAATCTTCTTTTAGCACTCTGCCAATCTGAATACTATGGTTTGACCCAATTAAATGGGTCTTCTAATCCAATCAATTAACAATATGGGATAATTCTTTCATAATTTCACAAAACAAATGGGCCTAAACTAGAGTGGACAATACATTCAAATCATAAGGTGATAAAAAAGCAAGTTACCCTGTCCTGCACATACATTCATTGCACCGTGGATACCTATAAACACTCCTTCCTTTGGGTCTTTTCAAGACGTGTTTTGTTTGCCTAACTGCCTTCCTAACTCTTATCTCAAAAATCCGCCACTCTATAGTGTTGTTCTTCGTAAATATACTTGAAAGCCTTCGTTTGTTCGGTCGAATTGTAGGCATCCTTCCCCCACCGTAGTATATCCGATAACCAGACACGAGAGACGACAACTGACTACCAGAGTCTGTCATTGCAAATGCATCAGCAGCTGTGCAGCCTATGAAGTCCAATGCTGCCAACTAAAAGAACATAAATCCGTCATTCAACTAATATGTTACAATAAGACTGCAAAGTACTTTAAAACCCTTCCGTACAAGAAGAATATAACATTTCACAGCCACATAAGCACCATAGCTTGACCATTGTATGAAAATACATGCAGAAGCAAGATAATTATCAAAGAACATAAATTAGAACTTTCTCGAGAACTGAGGAAGGGTTGTAAATATGCAGAAGAACAAAGTCAAGAAGTACATAACTTCGTATGTACAGAAAGTTTGTACAACAATTTTCACATCTTTATTATGCCAGGTAGTGAACAGATGGGCATCAACTTTAGTAGAGGGGCTGAGCGATGAAAAATGGATGCAATCAATTATCAGCTAAGTTTTTTATAGAAACACCTTTTCTATGTTTTACAAGGGCCAAGGGAGAATTAGAGAGCTCCCAGACCTCTCCCAAACAATCCTAGACAAAATAGCCAAAAAGATACCCCCATACCTGACTACTCGGGGTGTACTACTGTACGTACCCTAACACAAAAACCCACACTGCTCTTTCTACACCTATAGTGGCCCCTCCTTTTCCTAACGGTTTTTCCCTTTCCTATATCCTACTAGCACGTGCCCTTTTCCTAGAGTATACATTCTTCACCTGAGACCTATCAGTTTTTTCCCAGATATTCTTGTAGGAGAAATTCCCTTGAGAGTAGATTACTTGCAAAATTTGTAGGAACACAAGAATAAAAGTAATATCCAWGTAAAATTTCCATGTCTAAAAACGCTATTGTGATCTGATTGATAGTGACAAAGGTATGTAATTACCTGAGAAGAAAAGTTCATAAAAGGTTCGAGCTCGGTTGATGAAAGCAACTTCTCCTTTGTAACCAAATTAGGATACAAGCTAGTTAGAGCATTCAACCTTGAACTCCCTCCATATATCTGTGAGCCTGCCACAAATACCTTCGTCTTGCGTTTGAAACCAAGAGCAGCAAGCATAAGTACTGCTTCTTCAGGTGTCAAAGGACAAAGACCTTCTAACCTAAGTTCTGCAGGAGAAGGTAATCTGCAACAACAAACCAGGTTTTAATTAGGTCAAGGTCCCTCATTAAATATAACAGATCAATACAATGAACTTGAATCTCTTCACTGAGCATGAAACTATTAAAACCTTAATAAATGAAAATGGTGTTTAATATTGCTTTTCTTGGGCATGACAAGCATGGAAGATAAATTTGCAATGAACAAGGTGAACATTAAAGCTCTAATGGAGAATGAGTAAAGAGAGGGAGGAACAAAATCCAAGTCTCCTGTCATAAGCGATGGAGTTCAGAAGTCTGTCTATGCCCCAGAGTAAGCCACATTGTCAGAATAACAATGAAAATTTACATTATAAATAGGTAAACAATCAATGAAATGGCTGTCATCTTCCTGCATATACGCATATGACATATCAAAAAGATGACTGGAAAAAATCACAATACATACTTGGTGGTTTTCTGGAGAAGAGACAATGCTGGAAAATGGACTGCCCGATATGCTTTCAACTCTTTTCTTTCTTCTTCACCTCCACCAAATTCACAGAGAGAGTGAGCTACCATGTCAATTTCAAATCTCAAATGCAGAGATAGGTATCTAGAAGATTTTGCAGAGCGAGCTCTGTTTTCCTTCATTGTTGATTTTGCAAATGGGCCAACAAGATGTTTGTCCAATGGTCCTGGGTAGCCTTCTTGTTGACGTAGCCTTTGAAGAAGCAAGGCACCAGCTTCTTGAATTTTAGGAACAAACCTCAGAGCATGAAAATTACATCTGCATCGAAGTCTCTAGATGGAAAGCCCAAATCAGGAATATGAAATACAGAGAACACCTGCATAACTAAGGAATACAAAAGAAGAGAATATTCCAACATCTRTTGTTCGTAAAATACAAGAAGCGTATAAGAACCAAGGATGTCCAGGTCAAATTACCTGTAACTCAAATGATAATGGGTCAAATGCCAAGCGATTACCAAAACCCAGTAAATGCACGACCTTATTCTTAATTAGAATAGGAAGAATGTTTTTCAAGTAAAAACTTGGCTTGGCCTCTTTGATAATATCAGCATCCGTCACCTGCAAACCCAACAATATTATCAGTACAACTAAATATGCACACATAAGGAACGTAGGAAATGGATCGACTGAAAACTTACCACACTTCCAATCGCCTCCAAGTCTAAGGACCGTAAATTATCTGGAAGTTCTTTCACTATATGGATGTCAGGAGTCATGTAGTTAATAAAATGTTCCTCCTGGTAGATATCGCTGAATTGACTATGATATTACAGAATCTTGCACCATCAATTTTCCATCCAGAGAAATAAATAACTGAAAATGATGCTTATTGACTGACTAATGCATGGCATGGTAAATACAATGAAGACAAAGCAACATTATGAAAGGGGACATCAGAATAATTAATATTAAGTTGGTTTGTATAACCACTACAACATCATAAAGAAAAGGGAAGTTTAAACATTAAAAATCATGTTTTGTAGCTAATGTAAACATAAAGCTCTTTCCTACTCTCATCCAAAATTCGGATTTTGACCATCTTTATTGTACAGTCTTAGAAAGAAAAAAATATACCTACCTATCGCAGCCATGTTTTCTTCGTTTTTTATGTATAAGCTTACAGTAGCCACGTTAACTTTAAACTAGGAGCTGTTTCACAATTTTACCCTATAAAGAAAGTAAAAACATTAAAGTAGAAAATGTGTCTGAAAGAGTGATTGTATTTTAAGGCCCTTAAAAAATCAATCAGCCACTAAAACAAAATTAAGCCATAAATCCAGAAACAGAGCACGAACTTTATTAGTGAACAAGAACCTTAACATAAAAGGATCAAGAATTACAGAATATAATTATATAAAACTAGTAATATAGGAAAAAGGAAGAGGAAAGAACAATCACCTCACATCTTTCCAAACGCTACTATACAAAAACTTGGGAACAACCAAAGTTGAATTAAGTAACCGTGCCAGTACAACGGCATTGCAAACCTATTTCATGCAGGAAGGGGAACAATAATCATAATCAACTACTTAAGGTTGAGATACTCTAATGCAATAACATAAATAGGGATAAAAAAAATAACAACTCAGGTTCAAGGGTGTCACTCACGGCTACTCGCTGTTGATTCATCCCACCGTTTGCAGTAACCATAATGTATCCATCGTTTCTCTCTATTACCATGTCAAGAGTTTTATTGCTAAAATTAGAATAAGAATTAAATTCCATTAAAATTCAAACAAATGAAACCCATTAAAAAATGCACATAAACTGAGAAGACGAGACTCACTGCTTGGCTCCCAATTACGTTGATCAGCACATGGCTTCCAAGCAGACGAAGCAATCACTGGCTCCTGCCACAAGTCCTTCGGCTCGGGTTTGTTTTCTCCCTACCAAAAACAAATCCATTGACGAATTCCGAAAAAAGTTACACATAAATGAAATTGGGATGTTTCCCTCGCGTTCTACCAGTATAAAGAACAAAAATTTATCTTCAAATATACCTCGGCCAACGCATGGGCGGCCAAAGCCAACAATCTACCATAATTTCCCTTTGGCCATTTCCTTCTACTAGACTTCCGTTTTCCCTGCTATGGTAACCAATAAAAGACAAGAATCACTAATTGGACTGCGAATTTGAAACATGATGATAAATTTCTTTAAAGAAATTGACTGAAATTTAGAATTAGTAATCCATACCTGAACTGCAATCCTCGGGGAAGACATATTCCCAGAAAATCCAGTACTGGAATTGACCCCTTTATTATCTTGTTCTTGAAGTCTAACATCTTGTTCTTGTAGTCTCGAAAGCATGACCCAATTCACCAAGAAAAATAAGCCAACCAACAAAATCAAAAACAAAAGCCCTTTGACTCGCTTTCTCCGGTACCACACTGCCCCAGCCTTCTTCTTTACCCGCTTRTCGGCTTTCAACTTGTGCATACTCTGATTCGATGGAAACCCGAAAAGCTTGAGCCCTGAAAACGAAGACGCGTGATGAACGTCGCCGGAGGATTGGTCAAAGCTCCCGAATCGACTAGGACCGAGCTGCGGAGAGTGACTCGGCGAGGCTTGGCGATTCCTGGGCGTGGTCGAGCCAGAACGCACACGACCGGTCCCNCTTAGTTTAAATAACAAAAAATATATAATAAAACGATTATCTAACGATCTAAAAAATTTCAGTTATGCTTGTAAACTTGCTAAATTGATAAGGGCAGATGTGTATAAGAGACAGGTCCCGACCCTGGTTTCCGGCGAATCGGAATCTTCTTCTCCGGGCACTAGCTCGTCGACGGCACCGCTATGTTTGAAATTGGATCCCATTACAGAAATTGGGAGGTCATCCATGGAGGCCATTTCTCGAACTCGATTACGGATCCGAGATAGCGAAACGAGCGGAAGATGGTTGGGTTTTATAAGAAGAAGAACAAGCGCGCGAGTTACTAAAAAACAGCTAATTGCACCCACCAGCACACACTAATGACACCCACGAAAAAGGAGGAGAGAATTTTCATTCTTTTTCCTTTATATTCCACTATATATTTTTTTATTAAAGAGTTTTTTATTGTGTAATCATTTTACAACAAGTATCAAAATAGTCAATTTTTTAAAATACATCAATCAAAACGATATGTAAAAAAAATAAACCTTTTGAAACTACATGATTAAAATAAATCATAATCGAAAGTATATAAGATCACATTTTTCAAAAAAATGTAAAAGACAGTGGATTATCAATTAAAATAAATAGTTTTCATGCCAATTTGATTGTAACCTCTCTAATCAAGATGTTATAAATTTGAATAACTACCCCACATATTGTACTTGAAATTGGAAAGTTTTCGTCAAATGTATATATTTTTTTTGGGTTAGAAATCATATAATGTATAATAAATTCATAAAATAAAATATGAAGTATTAAGTTTCTTAATTCCACAATTTAAGAGAATTCAAATTTAATCAAGTTCCGGTATAACAACTAAAATACAATATTAAATATTCAGCTTCTTAACAATAGGGGTGGTGGTGCAGTTGGCTAGCGCGTAGGTCTCATAGCTAAAGAGTTATCCTGAGTTCGAGCMTCTCTCACCCCATTCAATTTTAATCCAAAACAAAATAATTTAAATTTAAATTTCAGGTACTAAACCACAAACTTTTAAATTTTATAAGGAAAATAATAAAAATTCATATTAGAATTGAAAATGAAAACAATAAAGTACAAAAGTGGTGTATGGAATAGATATTAAACAAACTCTCATAATGCATCAGATTTGTCATCTTCTTATTTGTCTTTTATTTTTTTTTTCTTTTTTCTCTCTACAAGTAACCTTCACGTGTAACCCATTTGAAGTTTTTTGATCTGTGAGTCTTTGACYACACCAAAAGAGAGGGAGAAAAAATAAAGTTTCACAAATTTTGAAATATTGAAAAACTTAATAAAATAGATCATTATTTAAACTTTATAAAATGTTAAATTACAAATTTAGTTATAATTTTAAAAMCTACATTATTTAATTGCATAGTATTTCTAGCTTAGTTTAAATAACAAAAAATATATAATAAAACGATTATCTAACGATCTAAAAAATTTCAGTTATGCTTGTAAACTTGCTAAATTGATAAGGGCTCTATTCTTTTCTTTTTTTTTCTAAGAATAGAAAATACAAAAATAGTTAAATACGATTTTTTAAAGACTACCATAGAGACAATTTTAGTAGTTATATTTATTTACTCCATTAAACAATTTTAATTACTTTTCAAAAAATTTTATTTTGATTCTAACAAGTTTTGTTTCTATCATTAACATTATTACTTAATTATTTCCTTAAAAAATAGGGAAAAAAAAAGTGTGAATATTTTTTAAAGACTACCATAGAGACAATTTTGGTAGTTATATTTATTTACTCCATTAAACAATTTTAATTACTTTTCAAAAAATTTTATTTTGATTCTAACAAGTTTTGTTTCTATCATTAACATTATTACTTAATTATTTCCTTAAAAAATAGGGAAAAAAAGTGTTACTTAAATATTCACGACATGCTAATTAAATCGATTAATGATTAAATACAAGATGGGATAAGCCAACTAGATAAAATAAGGACAAATTGCTCGCTTCTTTAGTTTATTCGCGATCAACCTTTATTTTATCGAGTTAGCCTGTGTCAATCGTCATCGATCAACTATCACATCAACATTTAAAGTAATCATAAAAATTTCAAGGAAAAAAAATACTAGCAATGACAATATATATAGATTAGAAGCCTAAAAAATCTGGTCAAAAACTCAGAACAAAGAGAATTTCATTATATTATATGCCCCACAAAAGGTCTCCACTTCTCCTAAAATTATTGAAGGAAAGACAGAAGCTTTGTATAGTAACCATTTCCATGATATACACTCTAATTTTGGCCATAAGTTATAAAATTTGCAACATCATAAATATTTTAATTACAATATCTTGCATTATCTGATTTAGATACAAGTTGGCTTGGTTTTTCACCTGACTGAGTCTGGCTTCTGGGTGTTTTTAGTCAAAATTCCAAGCTCTCTCCAGAAGTTGAATTTGGCTGGCTGTGGAAAAGCCTCAAAATGGCAACTCGACTGCATCGTGGTCGGGTGTTTTATAAGAGAAACCCGACTCGTCACTCGAATGCCTTTTTACCACACTGGCCCTTTGTACTAAACGCACCAAGGCTTGTACTACTTCGGACATCGGAGGTCGAAATTCGGGTTCGGGCTGCAAAAGGTTGAAAAATCATGAACACACTTTGGAACAACTGGAGAGTATGGATCTCACAAAATTGAAGGGAAATTCGCTTGAATAAGAACCAGCTCTAAGCTGAAACTTATTTTTCTGATACACAAAGCATTATTCCAGACAAATGTGAAAATGAAAATAATAAAATGAAATAACTCTCATGGGGTCTGTTGTTCCATCTATCTAAAACAAACATCATAAGATTGGGCGGAGAGAAGATCCAGCTCAAGATGACAAATTTGCTTTCGTTTTTCAAGATTTCGTTAGCATTATCAGATTCTGCAGTTACTAAAGAAATTTACCTGAACGCAGAGCGCGATGATATCGGCAAACCGTGACAGAGATTTTGCAGGGTACATTCCGTTCAAAGTGGGATCTACCATTTTCGCTAAGGAGTCTATATCATGAAGTTGGGGAGTGGCCCATCTCACAAGTGACTGCTCCGATCTTACCCTGGAACTGCACAAAATCAAAGGGAAAGGACACATTATACAGATAAATCAGCAACAAACGGATGTGTTTGATAAAATGTACGTAACTTGGTGCAATTGAGAGTAGTTTACCTGTCGAGTGGCTTTCGGCCGGTCAAGAGCTCCAACATCACCACTCCGAAGCTGTACACATCACTTTTTACAGTGTATACACCAGACAAGGCAAATTCTGGAGCACTGTAGCCGAAGGAACCAACCATCTGAGTAGAAACCTGCAAGAATCATTTATGCATAAAACGTCTGGTTAGAAATTATGTAGTAGCAATCCTGGAAAAGGTGCTAGAAAGATATGGATACACATTTACGAGCTTGAAATATAACAATACTCAAGTATTAACCTGCCGCTCTGTGTTGGGTGTTAAAGCAGCCAAACCGCAATCTGACAAATGGGGGTTGAGCTCTTCATCAAGTAATATGTTTGCAGTCTTCAAGTTTCTATGTACAACAGAAGGCAAGCAAACCTCATGCAAGTATCTACAACACAAAAGTTCCAAATGAGAAGATAATTGGAGTAACTGTTTGCTCCCAACACACTCAAGGAGAGACTGGTTAAGTTGTAATAAACTCGACGTACTCTAAAGCTCTAGCGGTTCCAAGTGCTACTCGGACACGTGCATTCCAAGTCAGCGTCTTACTACTATCTTCAGCAAAATGGAGCGTGTCGTGTAAACTTCCATTTCCAATGAACTCGTAAACTAGAAGACGCTGCCCATGCTCTGCACAATACCCATTTAGTGTGACAATGTTTGCGTGCCTCAATCTTGACATGTTCGAGACTGCTTCAAGAAAATTGTCTTCTTCCTGTAGTGACAATGCTGCATTGTCGATTTTCTTAATTGCCATTGTCTACATTACAAAAAAATAATAAGAAATTACTTTTGGAACTTATTTTTGGTGTATAGACGATTGATGATGAGATGAAGTTACCTTCCCGTTCGGAAACTCTGCTCTGTAAACACGGCCAAGAGAACCTTCACCAACTATGCATTCTTGGTTAAAGCTATTTGTTGCACTTTGAAGAGAAGCAACGGTGTAAGAAGTCGAAGTAATAGGGGACTTTATTCTTTTCACAGATCCATTCTTCGCTTGTAATCTCTCAGAATTCATTTTCTCTGCAGGTAGAGGCTTAATATCGGCAACAGCAGCAACGCTTTTTACCCGGTGCTCTTGCACCTCAGCATTCACTAAAATAATATTAGAGTTGGATAATTCGGCTGATGAAAAATGAAAAACAAGATCCCCGTAATTCAATTGAATCTTAACTAATGTCGTTTATCCTACTTAATCAAATGGCATAGGACGTACCACTAGTGCCAGTAGAGAGCCTTCCACTGGAAGCTCTAAGACCGATGTTCTTTCGTTTTCTCTTCTGGACGCATACAGCAAAAGCAACTAACACAATGAGGACAAAAATTATAGCACCCAGAATTATCCCCACTATTGCCAAAACAGGCAAGCCTTTATTTGAGTGGGATGAGCTGCCATCAGAACTTGGGGCGGTATGGGTGCCACTGCCAGATCCTGGATGTTTCGTGCCATTTCGAGATCTACCAGGAGGAGGTGGAGTAAAAGGTGGTGGAGGAGGTGCAGGACCATTATCAAATGAATTTCCATCATATCTGTTTTATGTATAAGATATATTTAAATACATTAGGCAACAGTTCAATATATCAAGATAAATATACAAAAAGATAATGCCCAATCACTGACATGAAATTTTCGATTGAACTCAGTTCTTTTGGTATCCATCCACTGAAATGATTATTTGCCACATTTCTGTAAAGCAAAGAGCAAAGAAATAAGAAAAGAAAGAGAGGTAACAGCCAACAGGACCTGAAGCCACAATACATAAGAACTTACAGAGTGGTCAAAGGCAAACTGATAAGACTATTGAGAGAACCAGTCAATTGGTTGTTCTGCAAAAAGCTACAACAGTGCAGAACCAATAGAGTTAAAATGTCAGTTTCTTAGAAAAAATTTTAAAGTCTTTTGAAAAGAATGCATCAGTTTCAAAAACTTACAGGGAAGAAACATTGGATAATGAGCTCAAGGAATTAGGAAGATCCCCAATAAAGCTGTTGAAAGAAAGGTCCCTGAAAAAACAAACAGAGATTTTTTAACATTAGTCGATTTGAGAACAAGATCTTGTTGTTTCTCTCATGAGAGTGGGCACGAAATCTGAGATATATGAATGGCCCTTAGTGAAGTTCTCATAACTTAGAAAACAACTAGCTTTTCACTCTCTACAGTCTCCAGAAATAAACATTCCTTAGTTCATATACTTGAATTGACTATTATAGGCTTGGAATTATAATGACTTGATAAAAGATATTGACACTAAAAATAAAAAATAAAAAATGAGATATCCAACTTCTGTCCACTCCGTCAAAAACCCAAATAGGTACATAATCAAACCAATTGGGATCGAGCACAAATTTTATGACCTGGTGGGATATCAAGAGCCTAAAGTGCTCATTAGCGAAGTCCTCAAAGGTTGAGAAGCACCTTACTTCTTCCCCACTCTGTCAGAACCATGGAGGTCTATTATGAGTCTATAAGTTACAGATTCAAATACTTTAATGGACGTTCTGGTTATTTGATTACTCAGGATTCAAAAAGAAATGCATATTGAAGTCATAGATCCAAACATGAGATATGTGAAAGATCGTAAAAATGGAAGCAAACAAGAAAATTATTGCATAACCAGCAAAATGAAAAGGAGGGTTCAAAGAAGAATCTTACAAGGTCCCTAGGGTGGTAAGATTGGTGAAAACGTCTCCTATCGCCTGGGATAGCAAATTATGGCTCATATTCCTAAACCATGGTTTCGAGAGGGAAACATAGTCAGGGGCATCCAGTTCTAACTTAATTGCATGAAAAAGGTTAACGAATGCATAGAACTTCAAAATCACTCACAGATAATTTAGAGAGGCCATGGTGGAAAAGGAATAAGGAAGATTACCACTTAAGTTGTTTTTTGCCATGTTTCTGCACATATGATTGATTAGAAAGTAAGCAACTAAACAAGAACAAACAAACAAGTCAATATATGATTCAGCATACAGGCTTGTGAGGTTCGGCGGCAACTGGTAAGGGATCGTGTCGTGAATATTGTTGTCGCTCATATCACTGGAAAACATATACGATCAGATCAACAAGTCAAAAACACGTAAGCACAGTAACATTTTGGAACCCCAGAAGAGCATGATAAGAAAAATGGCATAGCAGTTTACTCACAGCTTTTTCAATGACAAAAAACTTGATAGCATGTAACCCATCGTGCCATTCAGCCCTAACCCAGAAATCTCGCTATTGGAATAAGCAGTAAATCAGTTCAATCGAAGTAATCAAGCGATAGAAAACCAAAAAAGAATCCTCATTTCTACTCACATGGAAACGACTGCGGGCCCATCACAAATCACCCCTTTCCATGACTCTGCACATGGATCGCCGCCGCTACTAATCCAACCAGTTAGCTGAGGAGGACTGTTCAATGAAGTGTATATAACTTGCAAAGCTTGAACTGCAACAGTAAAAAAGAAAAAACAACACTCAGATGAATAATAATCATTTCCACCTCTTGAAAATCATAACACAAACAAGAACAGCTGAAATCTCGGAAACTAAGCTAAATGTCCTCCGTTATTTGAGGACAAAAGCGAAACAGCATTCAGTAAGAACTCAGAACACTATTTCGTTCCCAGTTTTACTCTCCTGAGTTTTCCAGTCCAATCGCCAAACAACAAACAAATCAGTGCCATTACCGAATACAAACACCAACCACATTTTCAAACAAACAACCAAGAATCACCAATTTCCCAATCACCCTTTTACCCCCACATGACCAAAATCAATCCATCAACCCCAGATTCAAAAAAACAGAGCAAAAACGAAAATCAACCCGATCAAAGAAAAACAAAGGGAAAAGGAAATCGACCCACCATCAGAAGCATCGGTAACAGCACGAGCAAGCCGGAGAGACCCAAAGATCAAGAAGAAAAACACAAAGAGGGAAACAGGAAGGAAGTTCCGCAGAGCCATTTACAACCCCAGACGCATTCGGCGATGCTCTGTTACAAGCTCTTCTCCACGGATTCAGAGCATGCAGAAGCAAGAGAAAAGCGAATAGCGAGAAGAGGAGAAGGGAGAAGAAGCTGCAGCAGTAGAAGAAGCCGAGATCGAGAGGCAGTGGGAAGAAGCATCGCCATAAAAGACAGTGACAGCTATAGAAGGAGAGATTCGAAGCTTATTGCGGAGTAATGAAGAGAGAGAAGGGGGAAAATGGAGTAAGAATGTGTCGGCGAAAAAGGGAAGGAGATTAAAAATCTGGAAATTGGCGGAAAACAGGAGGAAAAAAAGTTGGGTTTTTTGTATGTAGCCAAGGCAAGCAACGTATGAGTAATTTTGGTTCGCTTTTTTATTTTTCTTTTATTCGACTTTATTGCTAGTGGTTTCGGATCCCTTTCTTTTATTCTCACGTTTTTAGTTTATGCATTTTTAGAGCTAAATTTTTGGTCACGTCAACCTTTCACATTTTACACAGTTCCACTCTATTACGTAGTCTATCTTTTCAATTAAATTACTTTAATATTTTTTCTGGTAAAATATATTTTGATCCTCGATATTTGAAAAATTTTTCCAAATGATTTAAAGTCTATTTTGTTAGACAACGTGACAGTTATAATAGCATTAAATATTCGTCGACATTTCCATTATACATGGGTTTCTACATTGACATGAAAATTAAGTGACATTTTTATTATATTATAAAAATCGACAAAATATGAAAAATATCAAAAAAATATCATTAATATTAATATTAATAATTTCTTTTTTATCGATTAGTTTAAATATTTTTTACGATTTTTTAATTTTTCTCACTTTGAAATATCCATGACATCAAGATTTTAACAATAGTTTCATGAAATTGAGATATCAATATTTTCATCTACGTCAACATTTTAAAACTTGACAGTTATGTAAGTGACTGTATGTACTGATTTGACAATATATTAATTTAATAATATCTTTGCAGTGACAGTATTTTCCCTCTTTTTTCCTATTTTCTTCCTTCTTCTCCCTCTCTTCTGTTGACAGCGTTGTCATAGCTACATGTTTATCTTCCTATCTACTACCCACCATTTAGTAATTGACTATTTTCAAATTTTAAGGACTAAAAATGTCTATTTTAATTTTTAAAAGGGACAAAATAGGAAGCTACTCTAACCTAGGAGCCAATACTGTATTTTGAGCCTACTTTTTTTTATTTAAGACGAGGTTGAATTCTTTTATTGAGAGTTCGTAACTTCAATTGTTTTCTTTTTTTTTTCATTGACATTATTATTTTTATTAAGTCCCTATTGTTTTAAAAATTTTAAATAATCCCTTGTATTTTAACATTTTTCAATTTCCTTTACTTTTGGTAAACGAAAAGATTGTCTGATAATAAATTTATACGACAAAATATTTAGTGAATTAATTTCATTTTAAAGTAAAAAAAGATCCACTCATTGGGTTGTCGTGAAAACTCTAAAATATTTAATCTAGATAGTTAGCCACCATAGATTTAACACACTCTCTATAAGCTCGGAAGACTATGGTAACTACACTGAGTACCATACTCCCTTCTATTTATTGCTTGCCACATTTTCAAAATGATGTGGGTCAATTCCTTCTATTCATTGTATAAACAAAATGGCGTATGGTACTCCAATCATACTTAATCTTTTTTACTTACCAGAGTTGCTTAAAATATTTATTTTTAGTTATTAACATTTACCCTTTCTTTTAGTTTGTTGTTAAAAAATTTGCCTAGAAATTTGATATTGTCTTACATTATTTTTTGGATCTTATATCTATTTTGAAATTCAACGTGACTATTTTTTTAGATATATAATAGGTAAATGACACAAAAATACATTCTACATTGTCTTTTAGTACAGTGAATGTGGAAATGAAGGATTCAATCTCGGCCTCAAAGAAATAAACAATATGTCTTAACTATTAGACTAATGTGTTATAATATTTTATGTTTTCTTTTTTCCTTCTTGAGATGCATTTTTTGTTGTTATATTTCTATTAAATAATTTACCTAAAATAATAACGATTAATGATGAGAATAGATATGGATACTAGTACTAGAACTTTAATGCTTAAAAGTTTAGTATGGGATAAATATTTTACTTAAAATCTCACTCTATTTTATAACAATTTTTTATGTTTTTATTTTTTGAAATTGAATTTGTATAATCTTATCAAATCAATATTTATTATTATAGAAAAATATCAAGGTAATTGAGTTTTTTTTTTATTTTTTTAATAAAATTTGTTAAATTTGTAATTTAACTTTTTGTATTTTAATCCATTAAGAATTCAAATCTATAATTTTTTTATTGAGAATATATATCTTATCAATTGAATTATATTCAGATTCTTATAAATGTGTAGTACTAACATTTTTATTCTTCCAATTTTAATGTGACATACGTATTGCCCACTCAATATTAAATTTAATAAAAGCATTCGATCCATTTATAGCATGGTACAATTGAGGGATTTAATTTATTTGGTCCACGTGTTCTTTCTGGGGATTATTTTGGGGGAAATTGTTATGGCTCGTTTGCTCACCAAAATTTCCACTTGCAAAAATACGTAAGTTTTGAAATTTAAAGCATCAAATTGAAATATAAAAAAGAAAAAAAAAAGGGAAATAAAGTAATTGTGTTTTCTTTTTCCTTTCCATTTTAACATTATTTTTAAGTTCATTTTGTACCCTCTTACATGGTACGATGAGACAATACACTTAAATAGTTGTAAAATTAAATACTCATTCTTGTTTTGGTTGAGTCATGAGTGTCTTTTTCCGCACATTTTGTAAATATTATTCTTTCTTATTTCTAGTTTCTTTTTCTATTTTATTATTTTTAATAAATAAAAATATAATTGTATTGGATAAATACTTCTTATTTTTTATTTTTTTATTAATTTATTAAAAAATGAAATAGGTACAACCATTTCATGCTCTCTAACATTTTTAAATATTTTATAAAGTAAAATTTTATGTTGTATTTATTTTATATTTTATTAGTCAATAATGATAAAATAATATTTGTATTTATGTTTTGAAATTAAAAAAAAGTAAAATAAGAAAAAACAACTCGATTTTGTTGCTTCCAAAATTTATACACAACTTCGTAAACATTTTTAAAATTTAGAAACGAAAAACACGAACAACTATAAAAATATTTATATTTCTGAAAAATTAGAAACGAGAAATAAATACGTCACCATATGGGTATTTTGTCACTTAGTATTTTTTGAGTTGATATTAGTTTTTTTGTTTATGATTTGTTTTTTTTTTTTCAGCTAATTTTGAACATTTATGTTGAATTCAAGTGTTTTTTTTTCTTTTACTTACTTGGTAGGTTGAGATATTGTTCAGGTCATTTGTTATTGTAAAAGCCCCTAAAATTTACAATCCAATATGATAAATTAAAAAGAAGAAAAAATTAAAATAAGACCTAATACCAAATTTGGAGTCAGTTATCCATTAAAATAAGACTTAACACATTCATTTAAATACAATTGGGTTAGACTAAATTATCAAACTATTGTAAAATGAACCAATCAAATTCATTCAACCTCTTAAACGTTCTAATTAGACAAAACCAATAAAAAAAATACTAAATTAACAAATTATTTATTATTTAATTTTTATTTTTATCAAAAGATCAATTTCGAATCCTCGACTCCAAGTTTACAATCTCCCCCTTCATCTTCATCACATAAAACGAAGATGAAAAAAAATAATAATAATAAATAAATAAAAACTAAAAGAAAAGAAAAGTTAAGGAAATTTTATTCTCAAACTAAATATTCACAATCAATTTTTAGTATCCATTCGTTATACATAGATATAAAAATATTAAACATACATTAAAAAAAAAATACATTTAATCATCTCCTTTATTTATTTTTTTTCTCTCTCTCTCTCTAATTCCTTGCCTCTCTTTTGCAACTTTTTTGTTTTATATTTCAATATTCTAACGTTCTCTTGAATTATAATAAATTAAATATCTCCGAAAAGTATGAAATATTTTATATTTGTAAAATAAAATAAACGCACTAAGAAACAAAAGAAAAAAGGGACGATGAAATTTAAATTATGGGGAATCAATGGAAGGTTTGAAAAAGCAATTGCAATCTCAATAATTTAAAAGGGTAATATCGTCTTTTGGCATCCTTATACTAATTAGTTAAGTGACAATATCATTAGTAATTATGGTTTTCTTTAATTATCTTTTTTATCCTCTTTCATCATTTAAATATTAAATTTCAACGCCGCGTTTTCAATAATCGCTCTTATATATTAAATCCATGCATAATCATAATCATGTTTTTTTTATAATGATATTGAATTAAAAAAAAATTTATTTGATTTATGTAGTCCTTAAATTACAGTATTTGTGTCTATTTAATTATTAAACTTTAAAAAGTTTTAGTGGGTGTTGATACATAAATTTGGCATCTTTGGATTATGTCAAATTCGCATCAATCTTCTAGAATAAAAGGGATCGACGATACATGCAAAACATATAATAGCACTAAATACTAGCCACACGAACTCTGATGCTTGAGTTAGTATTAAAATAGTCGAGTGTAGAGTGTATGGTATTTAAGCATACCTTTCGACTTACTTCCTATTTATAAAAGTTGAATCTTGATCTCTCAAAGAATTACGGAAGTCAAATCCGAATACATCTAGGAAATCTAGTTATCTGGGCCAGTGTATGTTGTTATGGGTCTGTCGTCAGATCAAGAATTTGGACGCGATGGGTTCGGGCTGGCATGCATCACGGTCGAGTCGATTCTCTAGAGTTCTCGGTCGCAGGGTCGATAACTACTCGGCGTCGTGAGCCTGGTCGGCCGGGGGGCTGGTTTGGGCCGCCGAGCACCGACCCCCTTTATGGTTCGTGCCTTTTCTTGGCTCTCCTTGGATCTTTCTCTCGCTTGGCTGGGTCTCCTCTTTCTTCCTATAACATCATGAATATTAATTTAGGATCATATGTTACCCTCTCACTTCATGATGATAATGATAACAATATTAACTAAATATTTATTTGAAGCATTTGTATCTATTGATCTTACATGTTGTGTATTATACATATGGTAAAATGAGTAGATGTATAGAAAAAATAAAGTGATAATCGGTCTATAAAACTTAAAAGTAATTGTTGCTTACAACAAATATGTTACACGTGCCATTTAAAATTTTGTGGAGCTACCTGCTTAAGATAAATGCATATGCTAAATAATTCACTCTTTAATCTCATCACATTTC